ATGGAAAGACCATTTTAGGCCTTGAGGAGACTATAATTTAATGCAGAAATGCCATATATATAGACATATAAAAAAAGATATGTATAGTACAAGGAAACCTTACAGGGAAGAATGTGGTGTTTGAGGTGAATCTTGAAGGAAGCCAGTAATTTTAAGAAGTTGAAAAGGAAGCAGAAGGGCATTCTAGGCATGAAGGATAACCAGAGGAAAGGCAGGAAAATGCGAGATGGATCACTGTATGTGAAAAACAGTAGGTAGGCCCATGTGACTACATTCTAAGGTATGTGAAGGGGAATAACATGTAAGAATCCTGGAAAGTTAAGAAGGGGCCAGACTGAAAACTCTGAATACCAAAACACTGGCGTTTATATTTGATACTGAAGTTATTAGAGAGGCACTGAATTTTATTGAATATTTGAGACCTGTACTTTAAGAAAACCATTTTGGCAGTGGTAGAGGATGGATTGGAGTAGGGAGACATGAAGCAGGGAGATCAATTGGAATATTACAGTTATCCCTTCCACACTGTTATTTTCTCCATTGTGGTTTCCATATATCACGGGTCAGCATAAGAAATTAAATGGGAAGGGAGTTTTGCAGAAGCTGCAGGCAACATGTAAAGGCCAGCAGACAACACATTAAAAAGTTTAGAAACTCAGAAATGATGATCAGCTGTGAATGACTTAGCTATTCTCAGTAATACAATGATCCAAGACAACACTAAAGGACTTATGGTAAAGAATGCCATCCATCACCAGACAAAGAATTGATGGGTGTCTGAATACAATATTATTTTTTATAATTTATAATATTATTTTTATAATTTTAAATTATGCCTATTATGTGCCAAATGGTGTACTAAGTGATGAGGAAACAAAGATAAAAATCAAAACAGTTTCTGCCCTCAAAGAGCTTACTTTCTCTGGGTCAGGGAGAGTCTGTACAGGGATAAGTAAATATAAAATAATGAGAGAGATCAGGAAAGGTGTCATGGAAAGAAGGTAGCCTTTGAGCTAAGACTTGAAGGGGAGATAGGCATTCCAATAGGAAAGTCTTTCACAAATTTGCCCTAACCTAACTTTCTAGCCTAATTGTACACTAGTCCCACCTCCCATACATTGCAATTCAGGCAAAATGCACTCTCTGCTCATCATACACAACACTCCATCTCACACCCACCTTTATACTGACCATTCCCCATGAATGGAATGCTCTTCCTCCTCACTCATATCCACCTCACAGAATCCCTTCCTTCAAGAAGCAGTTCAAGCACAATTTCTTATGAAGTCTTTCTTGATCCCCTCTCACCTTTGCCAACTGCTTGTGTCCTCCCTTCCAAAAACCTTTGTATTTCTTGTGTTTTATATATATATATATATATGTACTTGTGCCTCCCATTAGAATGTAAGCTCCCTGCATGGATGGATTGTTTCATTCATTGCATATGTACCCAGTGCTTAACACAAAGGTATTTAACTTTTTTTTTTTTAATGACTGGGCAATGGGGAAGAGGGAGTGAATCCTAGAAAATGGGTTAGCCTGTACAAAGATAAAGAAGATGGGTTATGAGAAACAGTGATTAGGTCAGTTAGGTGGGAATACAGAAAATGTGAAGGAGACTAATGTGTAATATGAGCTTGGTAAGGTAGTTTGGAAGCAGACTAGGGAGGGCTTTAAATACCAAACAAAGAAGTCTGAATTTTATCCAAGAGGCAATAAGGAATTATTAAAGTCTCTTGAGCAGGGAACATGGTTAGACTTATGTTTTAGGAACATCACTTTGACAGCTATGTGGAGAATGGATGAGAGTAGAGGCAGGAAGGTTGGGAGGTTATTTCAATGGTCTAGGCCAGAGACAATAAAAAGACCTGAACTAGAACAATGTTTGTGTGAAAAAAGAGAAGGGGACTGAGGTGAGAGATATTGGGAAGCCAGCTGATTATATGTGGGAGGTGGAGAAGAATGAATACAAACATGACTCTTGAGGTTGCAAAGTAGGGTAACTGGAAGGGTGGTGGTGCCCTTGACAGAAACAGGGAAGTTAGGAAGAGAAGTGTGTTCAAGAGGGAAAGACAATGGGACACCCAGAAGGGAAACAGCCAATAGGCAGTTGGTGATGTGGAACAAAAGCACAAGAGAAAGGAGAGTTGGAATATATAGAACTGGGAATCATCTTCAAGGAGAAAGTCATGTCTTGCATTCCCATAGATAAAAAGAAATGAACTATGTGATATTTCTCAACCTGTTCATTATTTTGTAGCTGAACATAACAATTTATGCAAGAGGATTTTAGAAGGAAATTTAATATAAGCTTAGGTTAAGAGGGAGTCTAACCTCTGGCCTTTCAGAAATGTTAGGAAGGAGGGCGGTATTTTAAAGACACTATTTTTTAAGGCTTTCAGATTTAGGTTCTATATGTGGTCTTGAGCTTCACACCTCTGCTCTAAATAGAATTTATTCCATGGAAGGCTTTTAGAGCAGAATTAAGTGACTAACTTTCATATGGTAGAAACACAATATGGTTCCTGTTGCTTTAATAACTGGGTTCTTCACTATTTTGGTAATTTCCTCACCTGTAAAATGAGTATAATACTACTTGCTCTACCTACCTAAGTTGTTGTTATGAAAGAATCACTTCATACACCTTTTATATGCTACATAAATGTGGGTTACTTTTATGTGTTAAGCACTGCATACTATCTTTGTACTTCTCTAATCACCTTCCAGTTTGTCAATGGCCTTTCCAAAATGAGGCTAATTGAATACAATACTACAATTGCAGCCTGACAAGGGCAACATACTATCACATCCTTTACTCTGGACCATATGACTGCAAATAATGCAACCCAAAAGTACCTTTCCCCAAAAACAAACCTGGTACAAACATTATTATTAAAGGGAGAGCTTGAGCATTTAGAACAGGGAGCAGTAATGACAAAGAAATTTAAGTGCTGCATTAAGAACATATGTCAGACTAACCTCATCTCCTTTTTTGACAGGGCTGCTAGACTGATCAGGAGAATGCTGTAGATACGGTGTATCTGGATTTCAGCAAAGGTTTTAGCAATTTTTCATGAAAACCTTGTGGATAAAATGGAAAGATCTGAGATAAATGAGTAGATTTAGAAATGAATGAATAACCAAAAACTGTGCTGGGAGCTGTCAACCTAGAGATCTGTAGTCAGAACTAAAAGCTATTTAAATTTTATTGAAGACTTAGAGGAGGATGTAGTCATCAGTAGATAAAAAGTTTATATATGATGGCTGGAGAATGACTCAACTGGACAGTAATCATTTTGTATCAGCCCTGGACTTAATGGCATCCCTGAGAGTTATAAAATTTCAGAATCTCAACAGTTGGAAAGTTAACTCAGTGACCAGCCTATCTAACCCATATCTGGAAAAAAAAGCCTATTACCACATGCCCAACATGTGGTCCTCTAACTTGTGTTTGAAGGACTCAAATAACAGAGGATCTGCCAGAGTAGAACAGAAATCTAGGCTTGTTCTGGTACAGTACCTTGAAGGTGGTTCTGGGAATCTTTGAGGGTTCCAGTTTCCTCAGGAGTCAAGCATTCAGATCAATGGCCCCTGCAGCATATACCACAGAAAAGAACTTCAAAGGATAGTACTTGGAGAAATCTAAAATGTCACTCAGTCTATTTTTACTTAAAATGGAATATTTAGGTTTAACTTTGGCTTAACTTATGCATGGGGGAAAACGTACACTAATAAAACATCAATGACTAGTGAAGCTAGAATGAACTGAACAAATATATTATGTACCAATTTATCCCATAAATGCTATGTAAGAGAAAAGGGCTAATGGTGATCATATCAATA